GACGCTCGCATTGATCTCGTGGATTTCAGAAGACTGGCCATTAATGAGAATCTTCATCGATGAATTAAAAACGAACTTGTCTCACACACACACACACACACACACACACACACACACACACACACACACACACACACACACACACACTTGTACGGTTATTTGTTTATAGACATACGTATAAAGTAGCGGTCATCAGAGCTGGAACTGGGATTAATGTGTCTATTTCAAATTACAACCGAGGCCATTACGATTGCCTTTATACAAATGCTTTTGTAGAGACACACATCCATCTTTACCCTGCCGCTAGGGCTTAATAGTCGCACGGACTGGGCTTTTCCAGTTTGGGCTGGCGACCAGTCTGGTAGAAGGACAACAACTCTGAATTAAAAACCTGTTGGACGTGGGGCTAGCAACTGGTTGTTACAGAAATCATAACAGCAACAATCCCGTGTTCTAAGACGGTGAATCTTTATTCCACAAAATAGTCTACAGCAGCGATTCTTAACGTGGGGCCTACCCGACAGGAACGGCTTAATAACTGCTGTGGATTCCGGGACGAAATCCGGTCTCAAATGAGTGACAAACGCAGGAATTAAATATAGCAAATAAATCTATTGACTTAATAATACAATTGGTAATACGGTTAGTAGATCCAGAAATGCGGTTAGTAGCAATAATAATATATATATAGTCTGGGAAATTCAGTATCGAAGTAGGATTTCTTCCTGAGTCTACCTGCTCGCAACTGTGACTCCTACAAAGTGGTTACCTCACACTCTCACTCTCTCACTTTCTCAGTTCCTCACTCTGGGTATTCATCGGCAGCAGTACAAGTACACACTGGGTGAGTCCACTTGTATAAAAAGGGGTGGACCCCTTAACAATAATTGTGAAGACTCTGCCAGAGAGTTTGTGCAGTATCTCCTTATGCAGCACAGATGCCTCGTGATGAGTTTATTATCGTCTGTTTCACTGATTCTGTGTGTAATGACAGGACATCAGCAGTGAATCTTTTTATATGCTATGTCCTTTCAGGACGTAGCCGATCATGGGTCTCCACCTCCCTCTATCCCTTGCAGTTCTATTCGACCCGTAAGTATCAGATTCTTCAGGCCCTCCTTCCTCATTATGTGTCCCAGATACTTCAGCTGCCTCTTCCTGATATTAACTATAAGCCTTTGCATCCTCTCTAAAACCTCGTCGTTGCTCACACGCTCGGTCCATGATATCCTTAGCATCCTTCTGTAGAACCATACCTCTACTGCCTCCAGTTTCTTCTTCATCTTTGAAGAAATCGTCCAACATTCTCTGCCGTAAAGAAGAATAGATGTCACGTAACAGCTCAGTATTCTTTTCTTTATTAGCAAAGAAATCTTTCTGTCTCGCAGCACTCTGCACAGCTTTTGAAATATGTCCTTGGCCGTCCTAATACGTCTACGGATCTCAGTGTCACACTTACCGTCCTCTGTCAAAACGCTTGAGGAGCGAAATCCATACCGTTTGTCGATCAGGCGATTGTTGCTGTTGAGGTGATCAGCAGCCAACAAGGCTATTGACTACCTCAACAGCAACAAATAGACTCAAGGATTTAGCTGATGTCACTAAGGAGGCTAATGGAGCGATGAGAGTGCATGAAGGCAGATGTTGCATGATATTTTCTTAGTTTCATTAATAACTGTAATCTTTCCTTTCTAGCAAGAGGTGTTCTTTTAGTGACACCATATTTTTTTCGTGAAATCTGTCATATACAGTTTTTAACAATAAAATATTTTAAAATATTTCGTAATGCCAATGCGTATGAGTTAATATTGAAACAATGTAAATTATTCATAACATTTTGGCATATAAGAAGAAAATGAGTAACTACCGAGATCGGGGTTTGAGCGTGACACTCTGGACTTATGAATATTTTTTTTCCACCAAGTGTATAAATAGTAGTGTCAGGCTACTGACTGGAGTGATTATTGAGTGACTATCAAGTGGAACTATCCAGTCGAATTAGTGTTAATTATTGTGCGTCGATGATTTGGGTTTTGTTTTAGGATTTACCGAGCCGAGCCGCGCTACTGACAAAGAAACTGAAATGGTTAATTATCTTTGGTTGACTTTGATTTCTTTGTTCTTGTTAAGTATTTATTTACAGTTGTAATTAAATACAGTTTTATCTTAACATTGAAGTCTTAAGTTTTACTTCATTATTAACGGCCACCGTACGTCACAAATATTTTAATATTTATGATCAATATATTTCGATATCATTGTTATGGGTGCTACCACTTTGTTTGATAGGCATGAAAATTTTTAATAAATATTTAATGGCCCCTGGTACATTTATCCAGCAAAAATATTTAGTGGTCTCATGTGAGTCCGGGTAAATAAAAGTTACAAAACATAGATTTTAAACAAACAATTCATACATGTATTAAGAAAAGGAAATTACATTAATATGTACACAGTTGAAAGAAAAGGAAAAGACATTCAAAACTTAGCTATTAAGAATCGGCTTGTTTATGTGTATGATACGCGAGTGTGTGTAAGAGTTCAGTCGTCAGTCAGAGGAAGAAACAGAGGAAGAGGAAGGAAATGTTTGCCATCTAATAGGCGTTTGGCGAAGCCTAGTGAGGTAACCCACACCATTTATACTAAACTCTTGGAACAATTAGAGCGCATGGAAAGATGTAATGCATATATGAAAAAGCAAACTGACTTATACAATTTTAGTGCATCGTATGCCATTGAAATAATTCTCTTGCTTGTAATGAAATATTGAATATTAGAAAAATAAACTTCTTTTCTTTTACTATGAATACTTTTTAGGTACCTCCACTATTTCGGCATAAATTTTCGATAGCTAAAGTCTAAAATGAAATTTTAAAAATGAGAAAAACATTCTTGAAGATTTTATTAGCTTTCATTGAAAGGATTAAATTTATTATTTCCAGTAAGTAAAATATTCTTATGTATTTCAGATAGAAATTATATAGACTGGAATGTCAAATTTAATTTCGATTTCTTAAAATTTTCTTAAAGGACATAGAAAATTTTTTTTTTGCGAAATTTCATGAAATTAAGTAAGGGGCGGGGGGTAACATATGTAAAAAAAAATGTTTTTATCAAAATTTTCTAAAAAGAAAAATTTAAAAAATAATCTAATTCTAATTCATTTGTGAATAAGTTCTGAAAATTTCATTAAAATCGGTCATTATTTGATTTTTATAAGAATTTCCAAATCAATATGTGTTTTCAACGCAAAAAAGCGCAAAAAAGTCAATGTTATTATTATGCCACCGCGATGACGTAAACAAAACAAGATTTTAACCAAAATTTCGAACGTGTTATAAAGGATTACAAAATTGAAAAAAAAAAAAAAAATAATAATAAAAAATACTTTGGTCTTTCATCTTAATAATAACGTAAACATTTTGACGATAAAACTTTATTTCTAAGTCTGTGGCTTTTTTCATTACACTATGCGGTTTTCCGCGAAAAAGTGGAGGTACTTAATTAGAAAAGCTTTTAATTGCTTTTATAAACAAAATAAGGACACTATTGTGACATTGTCGTAAGAAAAATATATTTTTGATGAATAATGAAATTTTACAAGAATTATTTTCATTTTTTAAATTTTTAATTAGAATAATTTATTAAGTTTAAAATCTTTTAAAGTTCGTTATTATTTTCACCCTTTTAAGTGAAAACTATACTTACTAATCGTAAATAGAAAAGGTTAACAAATTCATCAAACACCAATACTTTTTAAAGAATTTTGAACTTTTTTTGTATGTGTATAAATGTGCCTATTTTAGTAGATACGAGTGGTCATACACGACATTATCAGAAAATAAAAGCGATAACTATAGCAAAAATGTAAAGCCAAAAAAATTTAATAAAACATTAGAGTACGAAGAATACTTTCTTAATTTTTAAGATTACTGAGTACTTAAAAATTAAAAGGCGCTCACATTGTCCAATTATTTTTTACGCATAAATCCTCTGTAGAACAACATTAGAGACACATTTCTGTTAAAACACCTCAAAAGCTTACATATCGCTGTGCTAAAAAAAAAATAAAAAATGCACTTCCGCGATATTTTAAACTAAAAGTAAATAATATTTGTTTCAAATCAGATTAATTATACTTTAGATTTTACAGCAAAGTAATTTGTTTATAAGAAATATTACATTTTATTTTATCTATTAAAAAACAAACAAATTAAAAATCTAAAACAAAAATTTCAAAATCCTTTCAATCAATTTTTTTTTTATTTGTTTAAAAAAAATTCATTTTTTTAGGTATACCGTGAATTGTGGATGTGACGAATTAAATTTGTTATAATTCTTGAGGAAAATGAAAAAAAAAATACGTTACTACAATTAATCACACGCACTGGGCAGTCTACCTTTAATAAGAAAATGATTACTTAATAATTGCTTAACTAAAATTTAATTTGTTAATGAAATAATTAATTAATTCAATGTTTGTATCTTGACTTAGATAAATTCGAAATATTTTTTTAGGTACTTTTGTACAGTCGACACCGAAAATATAGTTACGGTGTTATGCGAAACAAACGGATATATTTTAAACCTGGCAACGAAAACATGTTTCTTTCTACATCACAACAACCGAAAAGATTAAATCAGATAAGAATATAAATACATTTTTTTAAACAAAACGAAGTGTTTAGTAAAATTAATTTATAGTTAAACCTTCTAAAAATCGGCACAAACCATCGATTATTATTGTGTTATCTTTTGAAAAGTTTGCTCGAAATATGTCAACTGGAAGTTCAAATAGTTGTTGCAGTTGTCGAAGTACTGAGAGCAGAAGTCTCTCTACACCTGAAGGTATTGTCGGCAGTAACGTAAATAAAGATGCTGTCAAAGGATCATCGATTATTCCATCTTTGTCGGTAATTTCAAGTTTTAACGTCGTACAAAATCAGTTCCAGGATTTAATGCATCTAAAAAATGTTGTAATTTCTAAAGCAAGGCAACAGATGAATGTAAAGAATTACATTGTGACCCAACAGAAAGAGAGGCTTAGTGTAACTTCTGCTGGCGACAGCTCCAAAAAAGACGATACTGAAGAAGTGTACAGTCCGAGAGAAGAAAAAGATGCAACGAACAGGACAATGATAACTCTTCCTTGTGATCAATATGAAACTTTAATGCGACAACTTGAGGTCGAAAGGATCGAACACGCGAAAACGAAGACGAAGTGTGAGGAACTTGCCGACCGTCTGGACTTTGCCCGCGGGCAGATTGAGATCCTAGAGAAACAACTTCAGCGCGAAAAAGATAACTTTCGACAAATACTGGGCTCAGTTCAAGAAAGTAACCAAGTGGGAGACGAGAGAAAAGGCCAGCTGGAAATTCGCGTCAGGGAATTGCATCAAGATAACCAACAACTCGCGCAACGTCTACGTTCCAGAGACTCGCAAATCGAAAAGTTACAACAGGCATTAGCTAAAGAGAAATCATCGCACGATCAACAAATCATCGATATGGAAGTACGTAGGTGCCAAGAAGACTACATTTCCACTTCTTTAGCAAAGACTGGGAGCAGTCGAACCCAGTATACAAAGAAAGGGTATCCATCTGTTAAAAGTTATAGAAAAACAAAACTATTATCTTGACCAAATTTTTTTTTTTTTTTTATCTGGGAAGGAGTGCGATTTTTTTTATTTTGAAAAATTGCTAATTTGTTTGCATGATTTATACAAAAGATTTTTAAAGTATTTTTATACATAAATTTTTTCTATTGAAAATGTTTAAAGGTTGTCCAACAATTAAAAAGACATTCATGAAAAGGTAAATAAAATTTTAAATACACACACAAATATTTTACACATTTATAATAAATCTAACATTTCTCCATGCATTGAATATTGCTGTCACATCGAGTCTGGTGCTTCTGCTATTTATTTAGAGATTCTTGATAAAATCCTAAGAAGAATCTGCAATGTTATTGGTCCTGACTTGGCATCTCATCTTCAGTCACTTTCTTGCCACCATAACATAGTTTTTCTATAAATATTTTTGTGGTAATTTCACTGATCAGCTTTGGTACCTAAACTTTACAAATTTAAGCACAGAACTAAATTGGCAGCTAGGTCATCATTTTCCAATTGCTAGATGTCTCTGTAAGTTCTATGCTAACAGCTATATATATATATATATATATATATATATATATATATATATATTCTTTCTTAGTACATATACAACATTGTGCTTCTATTGCTTTTATGATGATTGGTGATATTGTATATGAGCCTGGTCTGAAATTCCAACACACTTTCATTACACGCAGGGTTTGTCTCTCACCTTTGGATGTCTGCCAAACAGAGGTAAAACGTGTTGTTTGTAAAAAGCTTTTCCATTTTATCTCATTATCTTCACTTCTGTTTGGATACTATTCTGCATCCAGCTAACACCGATTTTATATACTATATATATATATATATATATATATATATATATATATACACTACACAAACACACAACAATAAAAAACCCAAAAAACAGGAAAAATATCCAAGTTAATTGATAAACGTTTCCCTAAAAATAGTAACTTATCAAAAATTAATAATAGAAATAATATTAAATTAAGTAACAAGTGCATGGAAAACATAAACATAATAAATCGGCATAAGAAAAATAATTCAAAATATTATTTTCAATAATATAAGTAATAAATTAATTATAGTCATCATAATACTATTTCATGGAATAGACATTAATGGACATCTACACTGTTACATTAAACCAGATTAAAAAATTATAAAAAAATTAATTATTAGATTAAGATGATTTTATAGATTTAGAAGTGCTATACCCAATATAATAAATTTGAAATAACTTGAATCTTGCATAATTTATTTACATTTATTCTAATACATAATGTTAAAAATATAAAATAATTAAATATATCAAAAGTTTAATTAAAATATGTATATTTTACAAAACAGCACACTCAATACATTAGTCACTCATTATGACGAGTCTGACAATAATACTGATTTTAAAAAAATGCTACTTTAATTAAAAGAGAAAGCAATTTATTAAAAGGTGAAAATATCTAGAAAATGTGCAAAAATATCTAGAAAAAGGTGAAAAATATCTAGAAATTATGGAGATGTCTAGAAAGTGCACTTACTGCTAAATCATCCATAGTAATTGAAGTTCATTACATTGCAGTACTTACAAAATTCACTTTTCTTGGCTGGTCTATTATTACAATGTGGAATACTTAAAAACAAAAGTGTAAGGAAACAATGGATTTGGCTATAGTGTGTGCCTAGATATATTTGATAAAAGTTTAAAATTCAAAAATGAAGAAATTAAAAATTCAGCATTTATAATTCAGGTTCACATTTAGATATTTCCACATACGCATAGAATTCCATCAATAAAGAAATTACTTTAGTCTGAATAAATACTTTTCTAGAGGATAAAATGTGTTGCACAGAAATTTTCCACTTTGTTGTTTATATATCTATGGCTAGGTGCTCATATCTGAGTATGCCTGTCTACAAGGGCAGCTAGTCAATACCTGCTGTAGATGCCTGTTCAGGTACATTTGTGTTTATTCAATATTCACAGAGCCCACCTGTGGTTTATACTACAATTATGCTGAGCAGACCTTAGTTAAAGTTTCTGGAAAAGAGTGCATTATTTGGCATGATAAACATTTTGAACAAGGCCAATATTCTCAAACCCTCAGACACATGCTAGCACAACCATTGATAACTCTCAAATAGTTTTGTCTACCCAATTTTACTTGCACTTGTGTCTACCTGTTGTATGGTTTTCAGGCACTTTCTAAAGGTGTCTCAAACTGGGACTGTCTCCTCCAGGTCAATAACATCGAGAAGTCATCTTCCTCACAAATTGACACCATGCTGAGTTTTAAACTCTGGGCTCATGGTTGGAAAGTGAACGTTCTAAACACTCGGCCTCACACCCATATTTATATATATCTATATCTATAATTTTCAAAATGTGTATGTGTATGTCATTGGATGTTGTTTATGCATTTCCACAGTTTTCATCAGATTTTGATTAATTATTTTTTGTTTGATAATTCTTCAGTGCTCAGTTTTGAGTCCTAATTGGCTGGAAAAAATAACAACCGTGAAGTTGAAAAATCAAAAAAACTCATTTTTTTACACTTTGCATAAAAACCAAAGGCAAAATTCATCACAAGAAACCCCCCAAAAAAACACATACAATCAATTTAGACAGTTGAAATCTAACACAAAAGATTATTAGAATTATAAAAAAAAATTTTTTAAAATATAAAAATTATCGTATAATTATTGTTATGATGGTGTATGGAAGAGGTTCCTTCCTTGCAAGATTGAGAATGCAAAAACGGCCGCCAATGAAATTGTTGATCCCTAGTCCCATTTGAGGATGTACCTCTTTTGTACCCTATTGTTATTAATATTGATTTTCAGGTGGGCTGATTTTAAACTTAAACTGCTCCAACTGAACAGCAAAAACTCCCAGTAATGAAACATCCGGTCAAAGAGAGGTTATACTGCTAATATATATATATATATATATATATATACTCACACACAAATGGGGAGAGAAAGAACAGATGGAGTAAAACTCCATTTACTTTAAAAAAAATGCTCTATACGAAATAGAGCAATATATTATTATTATATTTTTATTATAAATGATTATGATAAAAACATGTTGAAATGGTTACACAAAAGCGTTCATGTTTCAATACTGTGATTGTACTTCTTCAGGTGATGGTAAGTAACTCTTGATTGAATAATTTTTCAGAAAATTTAAAAACAAAGTGTTACCTCTTTTCCGAAAGTTAAAAGAGAGGGACATAAGGTCAGGTTTAACTTTTGGAAAAGAGGTAACACTTTGTTTTTAAATTTACTTAGAAATCATTTAATTACCAGTTACTTTCCATTGCCTGAAGAAGTACAATCATAGTATTGAAGCATGAAAGCTTTAGTGTAGCGATTTAAAAATGTTCTTATTATAATCTCTTATAATAAAAATATATTTATATTGAGCTCTTTTTTTAAAAAATTCCAGTTGCCAGAGAACTATGGATTCTAAATCTGCTTGTTCTTTCCCTTCATTTGTGTGTGTGTGTGTGTATATATATATATATATGTGTGTGTGTGTGTGTGTGTATTTTAATCATTTCATCCTGAGCAAGGCAGTAAAGCCACTAAGACACAAGGTGTTTTTGAGTGTGAAAGAATAAGAAAAAAGAGAAACATTATTTAGGGTCAAGAACAATAAGAGAAAAGGAATGAAGAAGACCGTAGATAATGATTGATTTTGCATTTAAATTTTTGAAGATCAAAGCTGGCTGGAAAGCATGAAATTGGAAGAGAGTTCCACAGGTTAGAAGTGCGAGAAAAGAAACTGTTAACATAGACCTTACAATTTCATCTTGCCAATTCAACTTTAAATTGATGAGATCTTGTTGCCAATCTAGTACTGAACTTAAAATCTAGTTACGTTAGCAGAAAGTTAATCTGAAAGATTTCCATGAAAGAATTTGTAGAATAAGCACAGAGGAGCTACATTATAGTAATGGAAAAGTGACTGAAGATAAGATGCCTGAACAGGACCAGTAATATTGCTGATTCTTCTTTGGATTTTATAAAAAATCTCTAAATATATAGCAGATGCACCGGACTATGTGTAGCAGAAATATTCAAAGACTGGACAAATGGTAGACTTATAAATATGTAAGATAGATTCTGGTGTAAAAAAATTGTCAAGCATAACATAGGGAACTCACTTCCTTACCAGCAGACCTAGCAATTTATTCAATATAATCTTACTATCAGCCAAGAATTTTAGCCTGAGAAAGTGAGGTGCAATGAGTCACTCTCCTAGAGGTTAGCATCAGCCATGCTGAGGTGAGGCAGAAAGGTGTCTTTCGGATGATTAATAGATATAAGTTTCATTTTGGAGGCATTAAAATTAATAAGCTATTGCATGCTCCAGTTCAGAAGCAGATAGCAGGGCATTTTTGAAATCAACTACCAATTTCAAACTGAGATATATATATATATATATATATATATATATATATATATATATATATTTTGGTTATATGTTAGCTCTATCTCTGATATTGAGCACTTTCTAATAAGTACCACGTATATAATATATAAATAATTATATATATTATAAATAATTATATATATTTATTTATATTTATATACACACACTTTTCACATATATATATATATATATATATATATATATATATATATATATATATATATATGTATATTGCCAACATGTTTTTGTTGAGACATGTTTCATTGAATAATTTAGACATGTAATAGTTTTTTTATTTACTACTTATTTCATAAAAAACTCCCTGCATCCATAATTAGTTACCTCCCCTTAAATGGAGTCAGTGATCACACACTGACTCAGCGTTCTTCACTCCACAATTAAGAAATTTAACTTTCAGATGAACACAACAATTTTGTCTTTGACAATAATGAACACTACAATATTTGTCTTGTAATAAAGAGTGCCCTGATGATGACATTGTGCCATGTCGAAAGTACTCAGAATAAAAGAAATATGTATCAACACGGTGATTTTCACTCGTCTGTCAATAATGGCA